ACATCTCTAATGTTACATTAGGTCTAAAAATGTAGTAGTGGTGCTTAGTTGCTTACATCAATAGTGCCGCATCTATTCATGTATTGATTTAACATGTAAAAAGATATTTTAGACTTTTTTTATAGATTATGAATTTATTGGGTGATTATTCAGTATGTGAGTTTGTTTTTGAATAAAAGGCACTAAATTTTAATTTAATAAATCAAAGATCATTAACTAGAAGCTCAATATTAAATATAGACTCTAACACTCACCTATGAGCCGTAAAAGTCACTAATCATTTCACTGGCAATTGGAAGATTATTTGATCACGTCGATCTGTATGCTTCCAACATGATATTTAGAATGAAAAGTTGCAACCCCTATAAAAATTGAAACGAATGAACAACAAATAACACAATGTGCTTAAATAAGTGAAATTTTAACTATAGTTGAAACTAGCCATCAATGTCCGATCATGTAGTGCTTCGCCTGATTCCATTGAATTTGTAGATATATTGCGCCCAGAAGAACACCAATGATTTTCATTCTGATAAAAATACAAAATCACCATTCTGATCAATGGTGGTGGTTCAAGAGGAGGCGAGCCATTAATATGTCATAGACAACTTGAGAAAAAAGATGACCTCTGAGAAAAGAAGGTATAAGATCGACTGAAAGAGTGCTTTCAATAGCAATTAAACAATAGTATAACATCTATCGTGTAGCAACTTGGGTGCTAGTTTGAACAGAAATCATCCTACAATGACTGTCAAAATTAACCGGAGAATAAGAACCCAGGACACTCTAGAGAATAAATCGCCGCTCATACGAGCTAATGAGCTACTAATGATTTACATTTCAACTTGCCTCAAATTAAATTTTGTATACACGTGATTTACATTTCAACTGGTCTCAAGTTACATTTTGCATACACACAATTTTCATTTCGACTTGCTTCAAGCTACATTTTGCACACGCGCAATTTGCATCTCATATATGGGAGGTGAGAGGATAACTGCCGGAGGGAGGGAGACTCTTGAGATTAACATATGCCGCTATTTGAGATAATATGTGTAATAACGCGAGTTATATTTGAATATGCGAGATTTACATCGCGAAAAATAATGAAACAAAAAACATACACCGTTCACACACGTTTTTTAATTAAAACTTAAATTTAAATAATTTAGGTGTGTGAGTATAATGCTTACCATGGGCTGCACTTTTTTTAATTAAAACTTAAATTTAAATGACATTCGTTTTAGGTGTGCGAGTATGAGGGTGTTTGGGTCTGTTTTTCAAAATTGCTTACTGTATTTCAGAGAACATAAGTAGATATTAAATTGTTTGAGTGAAAGTGGTAGAATTTCCCCCCCTCCATTGTGTATATATGGATGCAATGTACTCACTACAATGTATGAAAGAAAGTCTGTAATAAACTTTAAGAATCTTGTTGATTCATCTGACATATTTCTTGTTTAATTGCTTATTTCAGTATAAGTATTTTCAGTTTTAAATTAATTTTGGTAAGAAGACTTTTAGGTGATGTCACACACGTTTAGAGTCGCATAGTATATGATGTGATACTCCTTTTAAAACATTTATTCTTTATATTAAAATATTAATGATTCATTTAAGGAAAAAGTTACATATGATTATACCTACAAAAAGTGACTCATATATTACTCCTAAAGTAATTATTGGTTTACTTTAGATAACATATTTTGTGTAAGTGCTAGTGCTTTCATTTAATACTTTGTGTAAACCCTCACTCTAAATCTATTCACCCTATGTAGCCACCATTTTTCCTGCATATAGTTACATTTTCTGTCAAATAACATCAAGAAACGGCCAGATCCACTCCCTTCTCATGACTGCCATGTTATTCGACCAAGGTCCTTCCTTCTACACGAATTGAGATTTTTTTAAATCTTCTTCATCTTCTTCATTTTTGTCAAAGATGAAATAATATATTATAGTGACAATGTTTAAGTTACAAGTGACTAGAATAATGAGTGGGTCATTGAGGGAGAGTAGGGGTTATTGAATTCAATTTGTTTGGTTTGAGCTTGGCGTAGGGTGCAATTGAGTCACTAATGAAATTTGAGAGGTTGGGTCATTGAGACTAGTATTTTGTGAATTGTGATGGAAGAAGGGTACATAGTGATGTTGGGGTTGGTTGGATCACTATACATAGGAGTTGCCACTTGTCAGTGAGGTGAGATTTGGATGATTTAGTCATTAAGAGTAATTGAGAGTGTGGTAATGGTGTGGTGTGTTGTGCTCGAAGAGTCACTAAATTAGATATTTGAGCATAGTTGACAGTATAGGTTGGGGTGTGGTGGAAAAGTTGGGAAAATGTGAATGGTAAAGTTGTGGTGAAGGAGTAGATCTTGTAGTCACTACGAAGTGACAGGATTGTGTTAGAATCCGGTGATCAAGAACATGACTCGTGGTCACTGAAGATTAGGAAGTCCATGTAATGATAAAGCATCAAATTTTATAGTGACTGCAAGCTCAATAGTTACCATAGCGTAAGATCATGTAATATAATAAACACAATATCAACAATCTATATACACCGTGTCACAAAATAATCAATATACACACCCCGTAATTAACACCATGCTATTCGTTTAGATTACTACCACCAATAGTCCACAACTTCCCCAAACATTATTCTTACAACAAAACCTTATTTCATGGCAATCTAAGATAGAAAAGCACATTTACAAATCAATCCTATTTGTCTATTAAAACTGGGAATAGGATGAGAAAAAGTCTGGGCTCAACTTTAATCTCCTCCTAACCTTTAGACTTTAGTTACCGCAATTCAATGAATACAATATTAAAAGTGATTTGCTTTGTATTAAATTCAGGGCCGGCTTTGGGCCTGTCTGCCCAGCCCGATTGCACAGGGCCCGGTATTTTGGAGGGCCCAAAAAAAATAGTATTACCCAGTCCAAAAATTTTATTTTTAGCCCAAATCAATTCCCAGCCCTCAAAATCCTCAAATCCGTTTGGGTCTTTTCCCCAATTCCCCTGGTCCGTCACTCCGTCTTCCCCTCTTCGCGTCTTCCCGTCGTTCCCGACAAAGGCCAAAGGGAGTCACCGTCTGTCCGTCACCGAGACACCGAGTCAAGCCGTCAACTCGTCAAGGGACACCGCCGCCCGCAGGTCCGCCACGCCGCCTTGCCGTCCGCCAGGAGTCGAGGAACGAGGACCAGTGGACCACGACTCCTTCTGTCCTTCAACTGCGCGCAGTCCCGCCAGTCCGACACGGCTCCGCGGCTCCGCCGCCCTCCGGCCTCCCTCAGACGCCGTCCTTCCGGTCAGTTACTAATTTGCTAATTCTTTTATAATTTTTATTCATTTAGTTGCTAATTTGCTAATTCTTGTGAAATTTCAATTTATTGAATATTTGAATTGATGAATTGTTTGTTGAAATCTTGTAATTTGTTTATTTTCAGATTTAATGTTTGTTGAATTGTTGTGTTGTTATTTGTTGATTTTTTGCATTTAAAGTAAATCATGCTTTCACCCTAATTTTAAACTTAATATTAATTTAAAATTTATAAACATGTACAGGATTATAGGAGAATTTCAATAATTGGTAATAATTATGTTTCCATATAAATACCAATCCGGTCATGAAAAGCGTCAAAGGAAAAGAAGACTTGAGGAGTTAACCCAATCTCAAAAAGGAGCTCTTGATAAGTTTATTATTAAAGAAGTTAGAGATGTTCAAGAGGGTGAACAACAAGAAGTGAATGTTGAAAATAATGTTGAAATACCTGATCAATGTGTTAACGAAATGGCTGAGAATTCTGATAAAGAGGACCACAGAATTGATGTTTTAGATGATAGGCCAAATAATTCTGCTTTATTTGACATATATGATCCAAGAAACTGGGATGCTCTAGATTCAAAGTTGACAGACACCTTGGTAGAGAATGGTCCTAAAAGAGATTTAAATTTTGTGGAAGGGCCTAAAGATAAATTCTCTAGAAGATTCTCATCAGTTTTTTACACTAGAAGTTTGCCTAATGTAGAGAAATGTGATAGAGACCGGCTTGTTTATTCAAAGGAGCTTGATAGGGTATTTTGCTTCTGTTGTAAGATTTTTAGAAAAGGTGTAGGCAAAGGTTCTTTAGCTAACACGAGTTTTGATGATTGGGGACATCTTAGTGCTAGACTGAGAGAACATGAAACAGGTGTGGAGCATATGGGTAACATGAGGAGTTGGGTAGAGTTGAGACTTCGATTACAAAAAAATGAGACAATTGATAAAGTAGCTCATGATCAACTTTTGAAAGAAAAAGAGTTTTGGACGCAATTGTTGTTTAGGGTGATTGCAACTGTGAAATATCTTGCTAAGCATAATTTGGCCTTTCGTGGAACGAATGAGCGGCTCCATCAGAATCATAATGGGAATTTTTTAGGATTAATTGAGATGCTGGGTGAATTTGATCCTGTTATTCAAGAGCTTATTCGTCGCGTCGACAATAAGGATACTCATCATCATTATCTTAGTCACAAGATTCAAAATGAATTGATAGAGATGCTTGCTTCAGGAGTAAAATCTAAGATCATTAAAACAATCAAAGAATCTAAATATTTTTCTGTCATACTTGATTGTACTCCTGATTCGAGTGACCAAGAACAAATGACTTTGATATTAAGATGTGTTGATATCTCCTCTTATCCGATTAAAATAGAAGAATTTTTCTTGGAATTCTTGGTTGTGAATGACACGACAGGACTTGGTCTTTTTGAAGTGTTGCAAAGTGTGTTAAAGTCTCTTGATCTTGATATTGATAATGTTAGAGGACAAGGATATGATAATGGATCAAACATGAGAGGTACGCATCAAGGTGTGCAAAAAAGACTCTTGGATGTAAATCCTAGGGCATTCTATACTCCTTGCGGTAGTCATAACCTTAATTTGACCTTGTGTGACATTGCTAATTGTTCTCGAAAAGCAAGAGATTTTTTTGGAGTAGTGCAACGAATCTACACACTCTTTGCTAATTTTACAAAAAGATGGCAAATTTTAAAAAACAATGTCCAAGGATTGACTCTAAAATCCTTATCAACCACTCGGTGGGAAAGTCGTGTGGAAAGTGTCAAAGCAATAAGATTTCAAATAAGTGACATTCGAGAAGCATTGCTAGAATTGGCCGAGACAGACAATGATTCTAAAATACAAAGTGAAGCTAGATCCTTAGCTACAAATGATCTTTGTAATTTTGAATTTTTGCTTGCTACAGTTATTTGGTATGAAATATTATATGCTGTTAATTTGGTGAGCAAAAATCTACAAGCAAAAGATATGCTTCTTGATGTTGCTATTGTTGAAGTCAAAAGGCTAATTTCTTTTTTTGAGAAGTATAGAGAAACTGGTTTTTCTAGTGCTATGCATGTGGCTAAAGAAATAGCCAGTGAATTGGAAGTTGAACCAGTGTTTCCTCAGAAGCGTGTAATTCGCAGAAAAAAACAATTTGATGAGAGTGTTGGTGAATCTTCTGTATCATCCACATCAACACCAGAAGAGCTGTTCAGAGTGGAATACTTTGTCTACATAGTTGATCAATCTATTGGCTCATTGACACGGAGGTTTGAGCAATACAAAGTATATGAAAATATGTTTGGGTTTTTGTTCAATTCTGAGAAGTTACAATCTCTTACGGATTTAGATTTGGAGTCATCTTGCACTCATTTACAAACAGTACTGCAGAGGGATGGGCAATGCAGCGATGTTGATGGCCACGATTTGTATATTGAGCTGAAGTTGCTTAGAGAGATTTTGCCAAAGGAAAAGATAGGGGCAACAAGAATTTTGAATTCTTTAAAAGAAATGAATTGTTTTCCAAATGCTTTTATTGCGTACAGAGTTTTGCTAACCATTCCGATTACAGTGGCATCAGCAGAACGAAGTTTTTCCAAGTTGAAGTTGTTGAAGTCCTACTTACGGTCAACTATGTCACAAGAGAGACTCAATGGATTGGCGTTGTTGATATCCATAGAATCTGAAACACTCGAAGAGATTGACATTGCAAGTTTGGTAGATGACTTCGCATCTAAATATGCTCGAAGAATGTCTCTTTTTAAATAAACTGTAAGTTATTAATGACTTTTTTCATTTTAATTATTACGTTTATTAGTAACTTGTATTGTAAGACAATTTGCTTGCGTTTAAACTTGAAAAAAGGCCCAAATTTTATTGTTGCACAGGGCCTCCGTTTTCTCGGGACCGGCCCTGATTAAATGCACGATAGTTTGTTTTATTTGATAGCTATACAAGATAATATACCAATTAAATACCATACGTGATTAATTATCTAGTAATCATTTTTTTGGAAATCTAGTTTATGAGACACTTTTTGTCATTTGATATTATATTAGTAATATTTACCCCCGTCCCATAATTTACTTCCAACTTTCCCTTTTCGTCTGTCCAAAAAAAAACTTCTCTTTCCCTTTTTGGCAAAGAATTTGTGGTTCAAAGTAATTCTTACACATTCTTACACATTTCTCTCTCCTCTTTACAACTTTCCACCACACAATTCTCACTTTCTTAATCCGTGTGCTATTTGTACTATGTAAGTAAATTCTGGGACAGAGGGAGTATAATAAAAGACCATGTACCTAATATCCTTCTAGACAATTATGATTTAAAAAAAAATTACTCCCTCCGTCCCATAAAATAAGTCCCATTTTAATTTGGATCGGAGTTTAAGAAAGTGAGAATAAAGTGGAAATGTATGGTTGTGGTTGAGTAAGAAAAAGGTAAATGAATGTTAGCCACACAAAACTTTCCAAGGAAATTATGATGTTTTTACTTGAATTGTTTTCTCTCTCAGACCATATCAGATCAGATCAGACCAGATCAATTCAGACCAAACTTGGATAGTTTTAAAATACAAAGAGACCAGACATTTACCAAACCAGACTAGACAGATCAGATCAAACCAGACCAACCAATTTCAGCAAAGTAAAAATATCCTTATCCAATGGATGAATATCATTACAGATTATATACAACCTCTGTCCCGGTGAACTTTGCCAAGTGCAAAGTAGGTGATAAATAAGAATAATAAAAACTGTATGGTTGAGATTTGTGCAGTGAGGAAAGAAATGTGCAGAATCACAAATTAGTTGCTTTAATAGGAAAGTGACAAAATATTTGGGACAATCAAAAAAGAAAAGTTGGCAAAATCCGATGGAAGAGTACATAACTGTGTCCGAGTCGGCCATGCCCATTACCATTTCTAATGCCCATTGCCATCCCTAATGTTTCAATTTAGAGCCCGTTTGGTAGCACGAAAATCGGCTGATTTGGCTGATTTTGTTGAAATTTATGAAATTCTGGCTGAAGTGGCTACATTGGTTGAATATGCTGATTAAAGAAAAAAATAATTCTAAAATATATTTTCTTAATAAAATAAAGAAAAAATTATATGTAAAAATAGCTAAAATAGTCATCCACGGTAACTTCGATCAATAAAGACAGAAAAGTAACTTCAACCTTACTTTTTCTGCTTATTAGATAAAAGTTACGTATTTAACAAAATTGGCTGATAACTTGATAAGCCCAAAACTACACACGGCTTCTTAAACTGCATCTGCCTTCAAGCCCGTCCGCCCGTCCGCATCTATTGTGCCCAACTCACTCGAGGTAGCGCGTGAGAGACGAACCATGGAAGCAGAGTAGTGATATGTCATTATTTTAGGCTGTAGACGTTTTCTCCCCGCTGCACCATTGCTGAGGGAGATCGAGATCTGTTCTCTCTCTACTCACGCTCACAGGCCAAGGTAATGACAAACATGGAAGGAAAAAAGACGGTATCGTGGTGCGTCGTTGTTCTGTTCGTGCTGTGCAGTGCGGTTCCGGCGAGATCGGATGCATCAGATCACAGATACAAGTCCGGTGATGCGGTCCCTCTCTACGCCAACAAGGTCGGGCCTTTTCACAACCCAAGGTATTCAAATTTCCGTCTCTAGATGTTTTCCTCTTAATGACACGCGGTGTAGCCTCTCCAGCTGAATTAAGATTGCGAATCCTGTTCGCAATCAGCCTAACTAAGCTCCTATGGTTGTTGGTGACTATCGAAATGAATGGGGAATTGTGTGTTATTAAGGGTCTCTAAGTATCATTGTTGTGATTTTGCAATTTTGTGTCTAGCAGTATGTGTAATTCGGTCAATTGCGGATTAACCTACTTTTCTGGGTTCATTAGTACTTCCTCCTTTTGAATTTTGAATTTTGCACTATTTAAGTACTTTAACTTGACCATATTTTATTATCAAATGTATCCAAAAAACCATATTATGTGAAAAATTGTGAATGTAGTCTACCACGTACCTCGGCAAGTATTGAGTCAGAGAAGGACTAATAGCATTACCTGTCATAGCAAAAATACGATTGAAAATTCCTAGTGCGAAAAGCTCCTTAGCACGATCTCTCTCTGGTAGCGTCGGTCTCACGCCCGAGGCCTGTGCAGCAGCGATGCCGCCGGCGGAGGGACATGAACTGGCGACTACTCCAATCGCTCAGTCATTAGTACTTCCTCCTTTTGAATTTTGAATTTTGCACTATTTAAGTACTTTAACTTGACCATATTTTATTATCAAATGTATCCAAAAAACCATATTATGTGAAAAATTGTGAATGTAGTCTACCACGTACCTCGGCAAGTATTGAGTCAGAGAAGGACTAATAGCATTACCTGTCATAGAAAAAATACGATTGAAAATTCCTAGTGCGAAAAGCTCCTGAGCGCGATCTCTCTGGTAGCGTCGGTCTCACACCCGATGCCTGTGCGGCAGCGATGCCGCCGGCGGAGGGACACGAACTGGCAACTACTCCAATCGCTCAGTCATACGCAGTGGCGGTAAGGGATATCCTCCCCGGCCAACGACTGCACTGTCAACTGCATCTCTTCTCCGATGTGGACTTCAACGGAATGCCGGTCAAATCGCCCAGCCGATTTAAAGGTTTTCCGGCTGTTTCGTTCTCTGGAGATGACGTTCAGGTCCTTGCATCTAAATTCCGATTCGCCCTAGTTGGGACCTTCCCACTCAAACGACCACCCATCTCTGCTATACGGAAAGCTATGGAAGCGATTGGTTTTTCCGAGCCATACTCTGTCTGGCTTCATTTTTCTTTCACTTTTCTTGTTCTTTAATCTCTTGTACTCGCAACTTTATTTTAATAAATTAGGGAGGTGTTCCCCGGCACCCCCTCCACCTAGTGTGGATTAAGCCGGGAAAAAAACCATAATATGTGAAATGTTATTGCATGTTCATCACATAATCAGTTTTTCATTTCTTTTACTAATAGATAACTAGTTATATTAGTGTGCTAAGTTCTTTGGTGTTAAATGTAACTGTTACATCAAGATGAGAACATGGATGCTTGAAAATTTCTTATCATTTAGTAGGGATTCGATCGTCTTGCAGCTACTTGGTTTGGCATCTGGTTGACCTACTATTGTAAAGGAACCACTATGTCATTTTTTTGTATCCAGTGCCAAACCCAAATGTATATTACTACACTTTAGGACGGAGGGAGTAATATAAGCAGTATCATGATAAAATGAAATCTAAGCAGTATCATGAAAATTGCTAAACATCCTTTAGGCTGTAGACAGCACCCGAGGCTGTAGGATTTAGGCATTTAGCCAGACCTAGGAGGGCCTAAGCGGGTGTGTGTGTGTGGCAGGGCTGCAATTATAAATATTGGATCCAGTCAAGCAAGTGCTAACGCCTTAAGTGGAGCTCGTTGAGGGTCTTTAGGACAGTGATCTTGATCAAATGACAAGTAGGCTTTATTTAGGAGTAATGGACTTGTGTCTTGTGCATGTGCTACATGATATATATTTAGTTTCAAACTATTGAGAATATGAGATATGAGAATAACAATTACTTTAGTTCTTCACTATCTCATGTAATTCAACATGCAATCAAACAACCTTACGTGCAATTTTGCCACTTTGAGAGAGTAGAGTTCTACTCTGATAGCATTCCACTAATCCATTTTTCTAATAATCTGATTATACAAGCAAAAGATAAAACAAAAGCAGATAAACAGTATACCAGTCTTTGCAAAAGGGAACAAATGTGAGCCGCTTTTACATAGAGCATAGATTGGATGTTCCCATGTACATATACAACTTAACATAAAATATTTGATGTTAGACTACAACATAGTGTTTACCGGATTGATGTGTGGATTTGTGTATGCACCTGTGTAGCTGTGTAGTAGACAGCACTTAGTGTTCAGTGACTTCAGTCAATTGATGTGTCTGAACTCATACAATCTGATGTTTGACTAATTGAGCTGGTTTTTCTTTTTGGATGCTGCAGTGAAACATACCGATACTTTGACCTCCCCTTCTGTCTGCCAGGTTAGTAATCATCACAGTATTCTATACCCAGAGTTGCTAGATTGTTAAGATTCAGAATGTATTAGTTTGATATATTGATAATTTGGTATAGTCCTGTACATGCTGAATATGTTGATATAAAAATAATAAGAATAGTAGTAGTACTAATTATTATAATTGTGATTATTGTAGTTATTATTTTTAGTTGCTAGCTTGGTACATTTTTCTGATTCTCAAATTATTGATTTTTTTGTCAGAACATTTGAAAGAAAAAAAGGAAGCTCTTGGTGAAGTCCTGAATGGGGACCGATTGGTCAGTGCCCCTTACAAGCTTGACTTTTTGCATGAAAAGGACTCAGAAACAGTTTGTGAGAAGACACTGTTAAAGAAAGAAGTTGCACAATTCCGTGATGCTGTTGCCAAGGATTACTACTTCCAAATG